AATGAAAACATAATAAAATATACATTAAAAAAAAAAAAAAAAAAAAAAAAAAAAACAACAACAACAATAATAATAAAGTTCTGGGCCACAGTTTCATTGATACTGGTAAATGTACAAAAAGGTAAAATGTATGATAGTGAGGATAGCGAGGATATTCACATTACAGGTGAATATAAGTGCAGTTAACATGCTTAAAAGGCCTATGACTGCAAACCCTGTTATCAGTTATATAAACTACAAAGCCTTGACCAGGTTGCTCTTGAAAAATTATCAATGTTGTTATTAGCTGCAATATGCCAACATATTAAGAAAGTTGGAGTCAAAAGCCAAACAAATGAAAGAAATGCTGACTAGTATATATTGGTGACTTGGCAATCAATGCTGCCTAGGAATATTGTCAGCCTTGGCTGGGTTCCCTCACAGAGCAGCTGTAGGTGTTATCTTGCCAGCAGTAATTATGTATATAATTTCAACAGAATTAAAAACAGAACACATTTTAAATTAAAGAAGAATAAGGAAATATAGTTGAAACATGAAAAAGAAATCAAGGAAAAGGAAAATGCTAAAAAAAGTGGCTTCCAGTCTTCATGACAGCAGTTACAGATACATTTATATTTTACCTTCCCTCTCTAAGAAAACATCATAATTGCTTCTTTCCTTCTTAAAGTACCCTTTCCAATCTTCAAATACATAAATCACAAGTTCAATTTTTTCAGCAAAAAGTCCATAAGAGGTTTCAAGCCATTAATAAATATACTTATTGATCTTCCTATAATCAAACAAGTTGATTTTATCATCTCTGATAGTTCTGTCACTTTCATCAATCAATCCACCAACGTGCGAAATTCAAATTCTCTCCATTTTTGTTCATCTATCCCACTTTTCTAATTGACTGTCCATTAATTCCAGCAAGAGAAGTTTTTGTTTCAGTTTGATGTTGATTTTTGAAATTCTTTGGATCATTATATGTATTTGAACCTAAAAATGTATGGCTTTTTTATAAGTGCACCAGGCATGATAAAACGACTCTCAAGTGCCAAAAGCAGGGGAGTGCAGGGGGATCGTGCATGGGCGTGCCCACACCCATAATTCTATGTGTGCGTGCCCTCCCGCATGTGCAGGTGACCCCCTTGTGCATGCGTGTGACCCCTGACCTCCCCCCCACTTTTGGCGTGTGATGGACCCATTTTTCACCCTCCCCAGGCTCCAGAGGCTTTGTAGGAGCCTGGGGAGGGCAAAAACAGCCTTCCCTGCCCCCTCTGGAGGGAGAAAAACAGCACATGGGGCCATTTTTCATCCTCTGGAGGCTTCAGGAGTCTTCCCTGAAGCTTCCAATGGAAGAAAAACGGCCCTATGGGCAAATCGGAAGTCCGTTCACAAACTTCTGATTTGTCCGTTGTGTTGTTTTTCGCTCTCCAGAGGGTTCAGAAAAGCCTTGGGAGGGCAAAAAACAGCTGTGTGTGCTGGAGCTGACAGCACAATGCCTTGCATGCCCTAACAAATGGCTCTGCATGCCACCAGTGGCAAGTGTGCCATAGGTTCACCATCACGGCTCTATGTTTTTCACATTTCCAACATATCTTTATATATGCTAGATAATTTTTATACAGTAGTATACAAATATTTTTATAAAATCCTAAATTATGTAAATTTCAGTTTAAACACTGTTCCCACCGTTCTTTCAATACTTTATGTCAAAAGCCCATACAGTCTTCACTTTTCTTCTTTGGTTTCAAATTTCAATAAACATTTATACATTTTAGTAATCACATCAACATCTATACATAGTGCAACTTCAAACTCTGTCCTCTAGCGCTAAATTCAAAAATATTCTATTATCTACCTTAAATTTTGCTCCTAGTTGAATATTTGGAAACCACTGTTTGAATCTCAGATTGTGTGCTTTTAATTCTAACACTGTCATTTTTCTTAGTAGAAAACCCACTCTTTTCTTTCATCCAGACTAAGCTGCAGACTGCAAAGTGAAATTTCAGATCAGGCAGTCCCAATTCTCAGCATTACTTCACATCTTGAAACATTTTATATTTAACTCTTGGTTTTTCCCTTGCCCTATAAACTTAGATATATATTTTCGCTTTTGTTTAAATGGTACATCAATTGCCAAAAATGATGTTGTTTGAAACAAAAATGTTATTAATGGCATAGCATTCATTTTTATCAAAGAAATTGTTCTCAAGAATGACAACTGGAATTTTCCCCACCTTAACATTCTTTCTTAATTTCATTTCATGTCCTAACACAGTTAGTATGGTATAACATAAAATTCATATTAGTCATAATGATATCCAATTATTTCACTTTTTCTCAATTTTAAAACTATTTTGTCTATCAATTCCTTTTGCTCTTTGATGTTAACAAATTAAAATTTTAAAACATCAGTTGCCCTTATTAACAGAAAGCAGAAGTGAAATAGAGGTAAAAATGAATTATGCAAAAGAAAAATAATTGCAAATAAACCAGGGAAATGATTGGCATATAAACTGAGGAAAAAAGAACAAAATCTATAAAAAATACAAGATGGGAATACCATAGTAACTGTTAGTTTAAAGATACAAAAAACATTTCCTTAACATTAATCTAAATTATACAAAGGAGAAAAATAAAATTCCCTGGCAAAGACTGATGAATATTTAAAGAAACAAAATTCACCAAAGATCACAGAAAAACAGAAACAATTCATGAATAACAATAAGGAAACTGTAAAAAGGTCAATATAGAGTAAGTTCCTGGACCAGATGGTCTTACCAATATAATTATTTTGAAGATGAACTACTACAACCTTTGCAACATATGATGAACTCTATTTAAGACAGTTGAATAGAGGCCAAAGTTGTACTAATAACTAAGAAAGTCAAGATTTGATCTCTACAAAATGTTACCACCCAATATCATTACTGAATAGTAATTATAAATTATTTACAATGATTCTAGCTGAGAGAATGAAATTAATTTGCAGGAGTATTCATCAAAATCTGTATTTTTAATGCAAAAGACAGTTAAGAAACAATATTAGAAATGTATTGGATATTTTGG